TTTTTTTCCCCCCAAAGATACTGGATAGTAACACCCACCCTTCACAACAGGAAGAACTGTCAGGGGCAGCCAACGTCATTAACACTGTTGACTGAGTTTCAAGCTGCATCTCAGAAGTCATACTAGAGAAAAGAACAAAAAGCATGGCTTGAAGCTGTGCATATAATCTTAATATGATTCATCTCCATGTCGGTCTGATTTGATTTGTTATGTGAAAAATAATAATTAGTTCAGTCTTCAATAAGGTAAGTCTGTCTACTTGGAATAAAGTCATGAAGGGCTGGAACTGAAAGAACTTAACCTCCCTCAGATGGACACAGGCCAAGAACAGAGCACTTGGATGATTAAACCTTCTATGCTTTAGAAATGCCTAAAATTCAAATTCAGTACAGGATAGTTAGCTTGCTGAGTTCAATTGATCCCAATTGGATTTTATGTAGCCAGTTGAAACAACTCTGACTAAATATCTAATCCTGAGACCAAATTCCTCCTGACGCAGGAGTCTATTGGGGCTACGGTGGCAACAAACTCACATATCTGGGTTCATCAGGGATTTTAGAGCCGAACTTAAACCAGATTTATGAGCATTTAAAAAATGACACCAGTGATCCTTGGGAACAGATTATGTTTTCAGCTAACAGCCTCAATTTTAACACCTGACATATCTTTAATAATTCAGAACGCCCTGCCCCTTCTCAGCACCACCATGACCACTACACTTGCCCTATTTGAAAGGTATAGTATGATGAAATTTGCTGCTGATTTATCGTCATGAACATTCTAATCATTGGAAGACATTCTAAAAAGATAAAAGGAAAAAGCTTTTCCTACACCTTGATGCTGCTCTCAACAGAGAGCTATAAAACAAAGTTTCATCTGACCACACATAATGAAAGGATATTAATGTCAGTAATATGTGCCCGTCTACTCGAATTCCACCATGTAGACTTCCTCTCATAAAAAGAAGCATTAGCAAAAAAGTATGATAGAACATCTTTTTGCCTAAGCAAAAGCATCATATTCCGCTTATAACACAATCTTAACATGTCCTGCAAGTTTAACTTGTTCATCCTATACATAAACTTCATCAGGAATGCTTATTTTATATTCAAACAGCATATGTGACACTGTTTGTAAATAAGGCCTATGTACCAAGGGATACTAAACAATTACTAAAAATATACATGATAACGTGAGTTTTGTATTAACCACTGTATTTGTATTATAAATAAGTGTAGAGAAGCAAAGGGCATGAAAAAAATAAAAAATTAATTCTTCTATTGGCTTGCAATGTGGCAATGGATATTATATGTCTCTGAGTCATTCAGTCATTTGTTATTTTGATAACAAATATCCATCTGGTAAGTAGTTAAAATTACTAGAACTATTTCTCAATTAAGAATGATTTTAACACAGTAGGCTTCTAGCCATTGGTTGATGTGGTTTAAATAATATTATCACACATTCTAAATAGGTAGCCTCAAAATAAAACTCTGAAATAAAAATATCTAACACAGGCAGGCATGGTGGATCAGGCCTGTAATCCCAGCACTTTGGCAGGCCAAGGCAGGTGGATCACCTGAGGTCTGGAGTTTGAGACCAGCCTGGCCAACATGGGGAAACCCTGTCTCTACTAAAAATACAAAAAAATTAGCTGGGCATGGTGGTGGGTGCCTGTGTAATCCCAGCTACTCGGGAGGCTGAGGCAGGAGAATCGCTTGAACCCAGGAGGCAGAGGTCACGGTGAGCCAAGATGGCACCATGGCATTCCAGCCT